CATCGAGAGCGCCTCGGCCGACGAGCAGGCCGCGCAGGGGCCCGGCGGGCGAAAGGTGGCCGAGGGCCGGGGTGCTGGGGGCCGCGGGGGTGGGAAGGGAAGGAAAGAGGAGGGTCTTGGGGCAGGCAGCGGGCCGAGCACGTTCGGGATTCAGAGTCAGTTCTGCGGGTGACCGCGGTGGCTTCCTTAACTTCACCTAGCCTCAGGGCCCCCATCTGTAAAACAGGGACAACCCGAGGACTTACCTCCGGGTCGCTGGAAGGGCTGGAGGGCGTAACGAGGCTATCCTAGGGAGGGCTTGGGAAGTTGTTCCTAAAAAGAGCGGTGATCTAATTAATAGAAGTATGATTAATAGCTGCAAGAGATGGCCCAGATGGCTTGGGGAGGATGCCCCCGGCCGGGCGAGGTCTGGGGTGCTCTCCCCACCAGTGGGAGCCCCCACTGCAGGCAGGGATGGAACAGAGTAGGTGGGAAGCAAGGCTCGACGAGAAAGGACCAGGTGTTTCAGCACTCGCTGCCAGCTCCTACCGCTGAAGCCCTCTTCCTGCCCCACAGGAAGATGAGGGGGCACAGCTGCTGACACTGCAGAGCCAGGTGGCGCGGCTGGAGGAGGAGAACCGAGACTTTCTGGCTGCGCTGGAGGACGCCATGGAGCAGTACAAATTGCAGGTGCGTTTGCAGCTTCGCTTCAGGGAAGGCTTCCCGGAGGAGGGGAAGTCGGAGCTGAGTTTCCTGGGAAGAGTGAGTTAGCCGGGGTCGGGTACTGGGGGAGGGGTGCAGGGATCGGGGATGCACAACGCGAGCAAAAGTGGGGAGGTGAGCAACAGAGCAGTGCGGGTAGGTGTGCAGGACCTGCGCGGGGCAGCTTTGCTGGTGGTGGTGAGCCTGGATAGAGGAGAGGCTGGAAGAGTTGCAGCAGGAGACCTTAGGTCAGCGTTGCGCCTTGCGCCCCCTGGTGGCAGTGGTTGGAGATGGCGGGCTGACACGGTGGGATTGTGATGCGGCGTGGTGAGTTTGAGTCTGAACTAGTACGGTGTGGAGGAGGGGTGAGTGGGGGACGAAAGGTGGTCGAGGGTGTGTGTGTCCCCCTTCGGCTTTAGCCCAGAGAGGGTGAGGTAGCCTCAGACCTACCCTTCCGTTTCCTGCTCTTTACCCTGTCAGGGAGCATCCCTGTCCCTGGCATCCGCGCCCCTTCAGCGCCTGGACCATGTCTTGCAGAGCGACCGTCTGCGTGAGCAGCAGGAGGAGATGGTGGAGCTGCGGCTGCGACTGGAGCTGGTGCGGCCTGGCTGGGGGACCCTGGAGCTCCTGCAGGGCCTGCCTCCTGGGTCCTTTGTGCCTCGGCCTCATACAGCCCCCCTGGGAGGTGCTCATGCCCATGTGCTGGGCATGGTGCCCCCTGCCTGCCTTCCTAGAGATGAAGGTGGCCCTGAGCAGCAGGGAGAGGTGAGGAGGGGGCGAGGCTGGGTGTCTGCTGGGCCCTGTTGGACTGGTCAGGCTCGGGTGGCAGAAGGGCAGTGCAGGGGTGCACCTCCCTCCCCTGTGCTTTCATGAGACTGGCGGTAAGGTGCTGCTTTCAGGTGTTCCTACAGGAAGGGCCAAGAGCTGAGTGACTGGAGGATCCAGTGCTGTTGGGCATCTCTGGGGTAGTTGGAGGTTGCTGGGAGTGAGGAGGTCACAGAGGGGGCTCTGGCTTCTGGCAGATGGAAAGCTTGTACACTTCTGCAGATGGAGAGCTCATCACCTCTGAGGCCACCCTTTCTGCCTTTGGATGGCTTTCTTTGCAAGTTCACTTTTTTTTTGAGTCCAGGTCTCACTCTGTCACCCAGGCTGGAGTGCAGTGGCATGATCACTGCAGTCTCAACTTTCTGGACTCAAGTGTCCTCTCACCTTAGCTTCCCAAGTAGTTTGGACTACAGATGCACACAAGCATGCCTGGCTTTTTTGTTTTTTGTTGTAGAGACCTGAGGGTTTTGCTATGCTGTCCAGGCTGTTCTCGAACTCCTGGTCTCAAGCTATCCTCCCACTTCAGCTTCCCAAAGTGCTGGGATTACAGGCGTGAGCAACCACGCCTGGCCAGGTTCACTTTTCCATGAGCCCTGTCTCCCTAAACCTTGGTCTCCTGCTCCTAGTCCTGCCACTTAGGGCCTTTTGGACTAAGCTACCCCTGCTCTGGCTGAAAGTCCTGGGTCATCTCAGCTCTACAAGCCGGAGAGAACTTGGGTTTGGCAGAAGACTCCTGTGCACTCACCACTCTGGTAGTGCATCGTTGGTGAGATAGGACTTGAGTGCAGATGACCTGTGCACAGAGTGGAAAGGGCAGATGGTCACTGAGTGCCAGGAGCTGTGGGAGCTGGTGTGGCAAGAGAGGGACAGGGAGAGAGAGAGCTCTTGCTCCAGCTTGAGATGGAAAAGGCTTCCCAGACGTGTCATCTGAGTCGGACCCTGAAGGGAAGGCGGGACTTGAGTGAGGCATCCAGGGGGAGGCACAGCACAGGGATACAGATTGGGATGGCAAACGGCTCACTCCCCTACAGATGACGAGTGGCAGGGAGGCCAGAGCTGAGGTGGACAGGCTGGGAAGCGGCTCTTCAGCTGCCTCAGAAGAGGAAGAGGAGGAGGAGCCACCCCGGCAGACCTTGCACCTGCGCAGGTGAGTGGGCCCCACTGCCCAGCCTGACAAGGACATGCCTGGGGTCCACAGCTGGCGGGATGAAGATCCCAGCCTTTCTTCCCCTGAGAGCAACAGGGAAAGCCTTTTGGGTCTCAGGGTGCCCTGGCCAGCGCTTGTGGGAGAGGGGGATGGGCTGTGGACTCGGAACCGAGAGGTCCCACTGGGGTGGGTACGAGGCAGTATGGGCCCAGGCCTCCTGATCTCAGCCTCCAGGGTGGCCCTCTGCCCCCAGCTGCCCTACACCTCCTAAGCTCTGCCTTGGCCTCCGATTCCACTGACTTACATCTCATGGTTACGTTGCCCCTGGGAGTGGAAGACCCGGTGGCCTCTCTTCCTCCCTCCAGGCCTGGGAGATGGCTGGGCTGCGCCAGGCCAGGGATGCCTACAGATGCCTGCTTCTGCCCTCTAGAAATGGGATTAGCAACTGGAGCCGGAAGGCGGGGGCCCGCCCAGGGAGTTCTCCAGACAGGAAAGGCCCAGAGCTTTGTCTTGAAGAGCTTGATGCAGCCATTCCAGGTCCCAAAGGTAAGCTGGGTGTGGTACAGAGAAGGTTTCTCCCCTTTAGTCCTCCATGGTCCTGGGCCGGCCACCCTAGGACAGCCCACACACCATCCCTGGCCATGCCCCTCGCTTCCTCCGCCTCCTCCACTGTCATCGGGGCAGCAACCTTGACAGTCTGCCTGTTATAGGGGTTGGCGGGAACAAAGCCCAGGTTCAGACCCATCGGGCCTCCACTTCCACGGCCTCTGAGTGGCGGCTGGCCCAGGCCCAGCAGAAGATCCGGGAGCTGGCCATCAACATCCGCATGAAGGAGGAGCTCATTGGCGAGCTGGTCCGCACAGGTGAGGGGTGGGCACTGGGGCGGGCCTCCCACCTGAGGGAGAATTCCCATCTGTGACTTCTACACTGTCTTAGAGAGGGTTTACAAGGGGTAGTTAGGAGCAGTGACCGGGTGGCCTAAGTTTGATACCCAGCTGTGTGACGTGAGCAAGTAGTGTAACTCCTCTGTGCCTCAGTCTTTTCATCTCTAAAATGGGGTTAGTAATTGCAGGGAAGATGTGAGGGTGAGATGAGTGCATTCAGATAAAGAGCTTAGAAAGACTCTTAGTAAGCAGAGCTGTTCTTACTGTATCAAATGCCTGCTAGGCTTCCGATATTGTGCTGGGCTCGGAATCTTTCGGTCCTGGGGAGCATAGTGAGTGTGGCTGAGGACCAGGTTTCCTCACATTGTGCTATATCTACTACCGGTGATAGGAGTGAAACGGCCGGGGGTTATTTTAGGTGGTGACCCTTTGAGCCTTTTTATTTTAATAGTTATAAATTTGTTTATTACAAAGTTCCTTATGGACGGTTTCAAGCAGACGTATGAGAAAAGAGACTAGTTCCAGGGTCCCCGCGTGTCCCTCAGCATACTGAGCAGCTACCTGGATTTCTCCACATGGGTTTTACCTTGCCCTGTTTTCTTTACTGAAAGATTCTGAAGCAGATCCCAGGCTTCCTGTCCTCCTTGCCTCCCAGAGAGCCTCCCTCAACATTTGGACATGTTTTTATTTTTTAGCTAGAAAAGGTGTCTCGGACATGTTTTTACCTAACCATAATGCCATTAGGACATCTAATAAAACTAATGTCCTCTTTTTTTTTTTGAGCTGGGGTCTCACTCTGTTGCCTTGGCTAGAGTGCAGTAGCATGATCATGGCTCACCGCAGCCTTGACTTCCTGGGCTCAGGTGATCCTTCTACCTCAGCCTCTCAAGTAGCATGCCACCACACTCAGCTAATTTTCTGTAGAGATGAAGTCTCACTGTGTTGCCCAGACTAGTCTTGAACTCCTGGGCTCAGGCAGTCCTCTCGCCTCAGCCTCCCAAAGTGCTGGGATTACAGATGTAAGCCACCGTCCTGATGTCCCCTTCACACCCAGAACATAAACACATCCCCTCAGTCATTCCACGGTGTCTGTTTACAGCTGGATGACTTGGGTCAGGCTCCAGAGTTGTTCCACACATCATACATTCCCCAACATCCATGGGGGATTGGTTCCAGGACCTCCCAAGGACACCACAATCCACAGACGCTCAAAGTCCCTGATATAAACAGTATAGAACCTGCATATAACTGATGTGCACCCTCCCAGTTACTTTATGTCATCTTGGGATAACTTATAATACCTCGTGCAGTGTCAATGCTTTATAAGTAGTTGCTATATTGTATCATTTAGGGAATGGTGACAAGAAAAAAAGTCTGTACATGTTCAGTACAGATACAGCCACCCATTACAAAATGTTTTTTTGATCTGGGGTTGGTTGAATCTGTGGAGGCGGAACCCATGGATCACGGAAGCCGGCTGTGTTTGCTTCTGAGGTCTCCGACGGCTCCCTTCTTTCACCTCTTCATAGTCAGCCTGCAGAATGTTCCACACCTCAAAGCTTTGGGTCCGTTCGCTTCCTTGGGGTGACATTTAACTTGTTCCTTGGTCCTCCAGTTTCCTGCAAATGGACATTAGTTGTAGAAGCTTAATCATATGCAGGTTCAAGTTGCATATTTATATTAGCGTGCATTAGGTAACAATAAAATTAGTTAATGTGCTTCCTTGAGTCACTGCAACAGAAGAGGCTCATTTTAAAAATGAGTTGAGCTGGACACTGTGGCTCACACCTGTAATCCCAGCACTTTGGGAGGTGGAGGTGAGAGGATTACCTTGGCTCAGGGGTTCGAGACCAGCTGAGCAACATGGCGAGACCTCGTCTCTCCAAGAAACCATAAAAAAAAGGGAGTCGATTTAAAGAAAAGTATTAAGTAAACCGTGGTGCTGGTGATGCAAAGGCTCAGTGAGACCACGCCAGTGTCCGAGGGCTAGGAAACATTCCAGGGGGACGGACAGGTGGCTTCTGGGTGGAGCAGGGTCACCTGTGCTGATGCCGCCTGCTTTCTCCCAGGGAAGGCGGCGCAGGCCCTGAACCGCCAGCACAGCCAGCGCATCCGGGAGCTGGAGCAGGAGGCGGAGCGGGTGCGGGCAGAGCTGAGCGAAGGCCAGAGGCAGCTGCGGGAGCTGGAGGGCAGGGAGCCCCAGGACGCTGGCGAGCGGTCTCGGCTGCAGGAGTTCCGCAAAAGGGTCGCCGCGGCCCAGAGCCAGGTGCAGGTCAGTGTTGGGGCCTTAGGAGGTGGGAGTAGGGGCCCGGGGACCAGGACATGTTGGCTCAGAGGCCCAAGCTCACGGTAGAACCTACATATGCCTGGGCCCTCCTACCCCAGCCCTGGCTGGTGGCTCTAGCACCCTCCTGGCCTCCCAAGGTGAGACTGGGATTGTATAGAAGCTGGGGGTCCCTCAGCTTTATTTATTTATTTTTTTGAGTTGGAGTCTCACTCTGTTGCCCAGCCTGGAGTGCAATGGCACGCTTTTGGCCACCACAGCCTCAACTTGCTAGGCTCAGGTGATCCTTTCACCTCAGCCTTCCAAGTAAGCTGTAACTACAGGTGCAGGCCACCACACCCACCTAAATTTTTTTTTTTTTTTGAGTTGGAGTCTCACTCTGT